TCTTGGGGTGGGGGGTAAAAGGCGGGGCCATCCTTGCAGACCTCCAGGCCTGTGGCCACCCCCGCTGGCCACGCTCCCCGCCCGCGGGCCTCAGGCTCCCTGTGCTCCGTGCAGTTCCGCAGCTGCAGATCCTTCGTGAAGCACAGCTCGATCTGGCCGAGGGTTTGCACCTCCTCGTCCTGAACCCAGAAGACGGGAGACGTTTTAGAATTCGGGTCTGGGCCAATCACAGCTCCATGGGCCCCGTGACACAGCCTGACCACGAGAGGCCCGACTCCCGGCTGTAGGAGCAAGCGCCTTCCTGCGACGCTGGACAGGGCTGAGCCAAAGCGCCCACTGTCACTCCAGGTCACCACCCAGGCACTTCCCGGGCCAGCCCGGCAGCTACATGTGAAGGGGTGCGGCTTCCATCTCAGAAAGGCACACGGCCACAGTCAGTGCACACACAGCCGCACACGCGGCACACGCACCGCGGTGACGGGAAGACGAGGCCTCTGCAGACAAACAGGCGAGCGGCACCCTGCGCTGAGAGCCGTCCTCATCGGCTGGCAGGGCCACAGCTCGTCGGCAGCCTGGACGGGCTACTGCACTAACAGTGCTAGGGTGACGTCGCAGACACGCTGGGCTCTGCGACACCCACCCCGACGCCCCCCGCCCTCCAGGAGGGGCGCAGGTGCGCTGGGGCGTGTCGGGGGAGAGCAAACTCTGGCCTAGCGCAGCAATGAAGCACGACCGTGGTCTCCACATGTGCACCCCGGCTGTGCCTGTACACAAGGCACACGCACACGCATACACACCCACACACCCAGGCCACGCCCGCATGTACACACACGTGCCCCCCAGCTGTGCCTGCACGCAATGCACACACACACACACACACACCCAGGCCACGCCCGTATGTACACACACGTGCCCCCCAGCTGTGCCTGCACACAACGCACACACATGCACACACCCAGGGCACGCCCGTATGTACACACATGCACACACACACCAGCGTGCCTGTATGCAAATGCACACGTGCACACACCTGCATACACACATACCCCAGGGCACACCCGTATGTTCACACATATGCACACACATGCCAGCCATGCTTGTATGCAAATGCATACGTGCACACACGTGTACCCTTGTGCGTGCCTATATGCAAATGCACGTGCACACGCGCACATACCATTGCACACACGTAAGGCATGCTCGTATATACGCACACGTGCACATATGCACACCTCAGCACATGCCTGTATGCAAATGAACATGTATACACACACCTCAGTGCATGCCTACATGCAAATGCACACGCACATGTGCATACACACACCCACGTGAACATACACAGTGCACCCCAGCACATTCTTGTATACACACGACACACACGCACACACTCACATGCACATACACTTCCAACACACGCCTGTATGCATACACGCGCATACACGCACACACACCCACACATCGTATGCACACACATTCACACACATGCCCACATGCAGACACACACACACACACCCGCCCCTGGGAACTCCACGGCGAGCACAAAGCTGCCAGCAAAGTGGCACTTGTCTTCTTAATAAACACAGACAGGACAACAGAACAGCACATCTGACCTGCTTCGGAGGAAGGCACTGGATTTTAGGAATAACTCCATATACGTTGGCAAGGGCGTCTTTGATATCTGCAATCTGAAATTCAATGAGGTGCATCAGAAATGAAACTTCAACAGAGAACCATCTAAGAGCCGTCTGCTCAGGCACAACACTGGTTTACGTTCTTGCGAACACATGTGACTGACGACAGGGTCATGTCCTCGCTGAGAGCCACCTGGGCTCAAAGACAGGACAGGAGAGGCTGAAAACAAGCCCTGCCCGCACCCAAAAAGGACGTGGCCTCCACGCAGCAGATGCCGTCACACTTCCCAGCCTCTGCCCTGCTCCCCCATGTACACCCAGAGCCTGGACGCCGGGGGCGAAGGCGGAGAACCCGCTGACAATGCCACCCAGCCGTCACAGGCCAGGACTACTGCAGGCTGAGCTCTGCCTCTCGCCGGTTCTGACACGTAATGAAGTGCAGTGGCACAGAGGGGCTCGAGAATGCTTGCCGTCACTGTGGCGTTTATTAGCACTGAAATCGGCCCTCTGAACGTCACGACCTGAGTAGAAGTATGACACACATCCTCACCTACTTGAATGTGACCCCAGATGAAGGCAAAAGGGCTCAGACACACTCTCACAGCTTCCTGGAAGGGTGGTCAAAGGACAGCTGATGCTCTGTCCCCAAGGTCACTCCCCCAGCCCCCTCTCCGTGGAGGCAGGGACACAGGTCGACCGGACACTGGCTGCACAGCTGAGCGCAGGCGCCACAGTGCCGGCCGAAGTGCATGATGTGTCGCACACACGGTCGGGACACCAAACGGCGCCTCAGCACCCAGCCACGATGCCGGAGCCACAGCTGCTGTCAGTGGCTTTAAACGTTTTTCTCATCCACGCCTATGATAAATATAAAAACGACCTCCAAAGATCCCTACGCTTCCCTAAAGTGAGAGTCAGCACACTGCTCCAGGCAAGGCGGGCAGCGGACATCTCAGGCCCTGCGGGACGGCTACCGGGGTGGGCGCGGCTGGGACCGGACACGACCTGTGTGAAGAGCAGGCCGCCCTGAGCCGGAAACGACTACCCTGTGTTTGTGCCCGGCAGCCCACGTGATCTGACCACACTTAAGTTTCTGCAGTTCTAGCATAAAAGCAAAAATCGCCGTTTCATCGTAAAAACAAAAACAAACTTCAAGGTTCTTCCTCAAACAAAATGAACGCTTTCCAAACCGCTTCCCCCACCTGCCCTGTCTGAACTTGGAACACACTCTGTGCTTCAAAATCATTGCTGTAAGTGGCCGCCAGTTCACACCCCAATGCCCAGGAAAACAAAATTTAAACAAAATCTATTTAGACACATAACAGTCAATTAGGAAGGGAGCTTGTCTGGGCCACTTTAAAATCCAAGGGCAGCTCACAGGCTGAAGGGACACTTCAATATCGCCAAGTGACCCTCCGTCAGCGGAGACGCATTCGGCAAGAAGCTGTAAGTGACACTTACTTGATAGTAATTGCCAGATGGGATTATCCCGAATTTTTCCAGCATGCTGAAATTTAAAGCAAAAAACCAGCTGTTTAATGATGGTCCATTTTCCTCTCTTGTGCTTTTCAAACACCACATTTCCGAGTAAAAATTGAGATGCTCTTAACAGTAAGTGCTTCTTCCTGCGCTTTGGGCAGTAAGTCTGTCACCAAGGACAGCAAATAAGTGGCTGCAGCTAAGTCCCCCAGCCGCAGGGCCCACTGACCTGGTTCTCTCCCCGCCCCCCGGGGTCTGTCCTCTCCAGAGGGTCCTGGGACTGGAGCAACTGGGACACTCAGCCCCTCGTCACCACTCGTCCGCCACGCCCCTTCCAGAGGAGGTTCGATTTGGGGGTCCGGGCTTATCCCGGGAAAGCTCACCTGGCCAGGTCTTTGAACACATGTATCCCCTTCGGCCTGGAAGCGCAGGCCAGAGCTCGCGCGTTTAACCTGCTCTGCGCATGCTATCGGAGCCCGGTGCGACCAGCTAGCTGCATTGTGGACTCCGCACCAACGCTCTGGCCCCATCTCGCCCCCCTGGGCCATCTGGGTTACGACCATGCAGAGCCGGTGGGGGCAGAGACCCGGGCTGACGCCCCAGGCCGACGCCACCGGACACGCTGAGCTGGCCTGAGGACAGCGAGCCTGACCAGGGCACCTCTCCGCCATGATTTCTGACGAGTGTGTCACGTTGGCGAGGCGGCCTCTCAGGCCTGCATACCACGGCCTTGGGCTCTGTGCTGTGGGGCTCTGCAGCAAGGGGGGGCGGGCTGAGCCCCGAAACAGACTTGCCCCTGCCTGCCCTCTCTGTCCATGGGGGGCACACGCCAGATTTCAAAGACTCTGTGCTCCAAATGCAAGACTTCTCGAATGTTTATGTTCATCATAAGTTGCAGTGATAGTATTTTAGATAATATTGTATTAAACGAAATATATTATAAAGTTAACCTGTTTCTTTTTGCTCTTTTTCGCGAGGCCACTTGAAAATTCTAGAAAATTAAAAATCGCCCATGTGGCTTGCATCCGACTGGGCTGCACTGCAGCGGCAGTGTCCCGCGGGGCCGGGCACTTTCTGGGGCCCCGAGGAGCCTCGCCCGCCACCTCCCCCTGCTTGTCCAAGGACCACAGAGCGAGGATTCAGAGGCGAGAGGTGGTCAGTCTCTAGAGAAGCACTCAAGGCTTCAATAAAGGGGGCCGGGCGCGGGCCGCCTACCTGTTGAGGGCGAGGCCCTTGTACAGGTCCAGGCCTTTGCCGAAGTACTTCTTCTGCGAGTTGAGGGCGTCCAGCTGGGCGGCGCAGGTGCCGTGCTTCTCCCACTCGTGCTTCCTGCCGGAGGGCGTGAGAACGTGCCGCTGAGACGCGCCCGAGTCCCGCGCGGCACGAGGGTCGCACGGGCTCCCTGCCCGCGCAGCACGTCCACGCGCCCGGGGCTGTATCTTTCACAAAGTAGAAAGATAAACGTGCTCCTTTGCAACACAGGCCACAATTTAAACCCCATGCTCAGATCGAGGCCGGTGGACACAGCGCAGCCACCAAAGGGCACACGTCACCGTCCCTCTGGGTCTCCACTGCCTTCTACTGCGCGGCCGAGAGGAAGCATGCCGTCGCCCCCGCCCCGCCCCCGGCACGGGGCATCCTGCCCAGGCCGGTGCTTTGCAGCCGGGAGTCCGCTGGCGAGGCCCAGTGGCCATTTCTACGTAACTGGCCACGGAAAGGCAGAGTCACCAGTTACACCTGAGGACACGCCTGAGGCCTGGGCCACTTCAGCCCTGCTCACTGTTGTGGCTTGCATGCCCCCACGACAAGACGACAGCCTAACCCAACGTCTGCAAACGCACGGCCATCGTCCTCGAGAAGAATGTCGCTATGGAGGCCGCTCCTTCTATTTTATTGAAGACTCAAGTTTTATAAATCGTTTTTGCATTCTTCATTCTCACGGCGTGAAAATAACCACTGCTGGGATGGAAATGGGGAAACCGAGGCTGGGGGCACGTCCAGCCCCGCGCTGCTCCGTCACCCCTC